CAAAAATAACTGGCCAAAAGCTTCTCATGTCTTATTCTGATTATATGCTTTTATAATGGTTCATATTCTATAAATGGCATAACAGCATGAAGATTACCAAAGCAAGCTACTAAACATACACAGAAACAAAGCAGTTTTGTCAATTTAAAATCTCCTAATTCAGGCTTATAATAGTGCCAACCTACAATATATGCAACTATAATGATGAATGAGAGTATCTATTTATACCAATCTGATGATTATCTGTTTTGGTGGTGAACGTAGCTGTGCATCTTTCTGCTATGTCTCTGAGAGGTTTAGTTTTAATATCAGCTTCACAAACATCAACATTGGTAAGCATTGAAATCTTTAATGTATAAAGGCTATAATTAAGTTCATTAAAATGAGGAGGCGTTTTATTGTCTTTGTTTGGCAACTGACAGAAACTGTGGGGGAGGGGAGGGTGTTGACACACAACAAAGGCCCTCAGTGACAAACCAAGGGCATTGTGCTACATTATTCAGTTGCTGCTTAATTAGGCAATTTTCCAAGTAATTAGCAAGGCATTAAACAAGGTAACGTATATAGCTAGCAACCATCAAGGAGATAAGCTTGTTATTTTCAATACTGTGTAAAACATTGATTTTCTCCCATCTTAATGTATAAAATCCAGATTTTCATTAATTGTAGTAACACTAAAAAAAGATAAAATCCCAAGCGTAGGAGGTCTTTCAACAGACAAAGTGCATTCTGAGAGGCTTCAGTCCTCTTAAGACACCACACAGTAGGAGGTCTATTTTCTCTCAATCTTCCCTCTCACCACAGGGAAGGTTGAATTCATATGTGTGTGTGTGCATTGTATGTGTGTAGGTTAAAGTCTGGGCCAAAGGCGGGTGGCAGAGTCACTTCACATTATCAGATCCCTCTACAGATTATAAGAGAGAATTCAAGTGTTTTCATTCTTCAATCGCTGACACTTATCGAAATGATAGGAAGTAAAGGAACAGGTAACACAGAACTCCTCTTATTTTGGCTTCGATGATCCAGGTAAAATATTTATCTCAAAGCAAATCTTTCTTTTATTTATTCAGATGAACTTTAAATAAGCATGTTACCTTCTAAAACATCTCTTTGGATAATAGCACAATTGCCAGAGATATTTTAATATTAATAAGTTGAAAAAAATGTGTAATAATTTAGTTCATTTTCAAAAGTAAAGTAACAAACCCTAAGACTGTTGTATTCTCTTACTGTAAACTCACTCTAATATCTCAAAAGAGCAGGACAGTCTAAATTTAAGCTTGTGTCACAGCACCATTTCACAACCCCAAGGTGAAGAGTGAGCAGGCTGGTTTGTGTGTGATGGTGGTGGCCCGTGAGGCTGGATCACGAGCTATCACAGCGTACCAAATATAGAAGTCACTTGGTCTCAGGAGAGACCATCAAGACACTCACTCTTCTTTTGCTCTGCCCACTCCAGTTGATGAACTAAGCACAGAGGGCAAAGCTTTTTTTCCCCTCACTGCCTGAGAAGAAACATGGCGTGAATTTAAAAAGCACCCATGCTGATGTTAAGATGAAAATAATCCTGTGACCATATTGTAGATGTAGGTTATTTTGGTGCAGGTATAAACCACCTTGGTTGTGAAGTAGATGAGCTAGGCCTAATATTACATATATATATATATATATATATATATAACCTTTGTTTACACTGACAACTCAAATCTTTGTTTTGATATTTTATCTAAAATATCATTTCCATTTTGCACTTTTGCCTTTTGTTGTTCACAGTTAGCTGACAATGACCTGTGTGGCAAGTACGACTCCATCAGAGTAAAACAGTGATCTAATGTAATGATGGGCTTAAATTTGAAGCCCTCGGTTGCTCTATGTCTAAATACTTGAGGCTAATACTTTTAGGATATGCTGTACATCTCCTTAGGTCATGATATAATATGTTGATGTTTGCAGCAACTTGTGAAAATACACTGCACACTACTATTTGGTTTGACTTACAGTGTTGTAATCTACATATCATAATAAACTGTGATGTTTAAGGTGCAATCTTACATTCGGTCATGTTTAATAGTGCCGTATAAAATCATAGATGTCACACAGTAGTAGGCAAGCCAGTGCAAAAGATCAGCATAACATCCTCTGAGTAACTTTGACACTCACAGACACTGAACAAGTTTCTGTTTTGAATTTATCCTGGTAAATAGAAGGGCAGAAGTTCCCATCAGTGCAATGTGAAGTGTTTTGCTATGAAGGCTGGGCCTTTGTGCATAGAGCCTGAGGGCAGCAGAACATGGCTCTTTTAGGGTTTGATTTATAATTGAAAGCTGTGTTTACATCCGCTCTCCAGCCACCACAGCACAGAGTGCAGTTCATAGCCTGGTGACAGAGGAGACCAGAAAATTGAACCCATTAAAAAGAGAATTTTGGGGGGAAGTTGGAGGAAGGGGTGTAAGCTGGAGTGGTCATAGAGCCTGGTGTTTACATCTGGCTGTACATCACTATGTACACTAGTGTTACTCTGTAAGCAAGGCAAGGAAATGTTAAATCACTTCTGACAGCTGAGAAATTGACCGCTTCTTGGCTCTTACACTTGTCTTATGGGAAGTAAGGAGGCTTTCTGTGCTGAGAAGTTGCTGGAAGCTAATAAGTGAGCCTTACACATTGTCTATTTTGTGTAGTTACATGCATAAACATGACATTTGAAAACACACCGATATGTTTGTAAGTGACTCAAAAATCCTTCCTAGTATGAAAAAAACCACTATCTCTTTGTGCATTATGGGCTGTTAAGGGAAAAAGAGCCAATGTGCAAATATCAACTTAAAAGACTAAAATGCAAAATACAAATGTAGGTTTGCAAATCCACCAGTTTGTGACTCTATGGTATCTGCATAAGGCCCAAAAGGGTGTTCATGAATTAGGGGGGGGGGGATGACCATTTCATTTGTTTGTTATTATTTACAGTGGAGAAAATAATTATTTGATCCCAGATATATTTGTCAGTTTGCTCACTTGCACAAGTGCCAAATTGGACTTGATCTTATCAAGAAGATAACTTGTTTTATCTAGCAAAGCCCAAATGGGACCGACATCAGGGCAAAACTTGCAGTCAACATCAGCAGGTCGGAGCATTCATGGACGGAGTTTCATTTCAGAATGTAAAACTCACCCTAAGATTGCTGTCTTCTGGCGTAGAGAGGCTAGAGTTAGCTTGAACTAATGAACAGTACAATATATAGCACAGCAAAACACTCGCTTTAGTGGATAAACAACAGGGTCTGATCTGACGGGCAAGTTAGATTATTGGTTTTATATTACTTCAGCCAATAAAATGTCATTTTTTCAATCCACGGTACTTACAAATCGTTTTCATTTGAGCCGTCAATAAATTATTTACTTGTACAAAGTAAGGGTATATACCACTTTCTACAGCCCTAGCCAAGAGCAATGCAAGGCAAAAGGAAATAACCAGATATGTGTAATTTTTGCAGCATTCATCAAATGTTCACCATTGTTGTCAAGTATTTATACTTAAGGTATAAAACATGCCGGCCTCTCAGTCAGTGTTTTGGCTGATGGTGTGCCCGAAGCAACAGGATGCTAAATAATAACAATAGTTGTACCCATGTTAACCAGAGAACATTAAACTGATAAATAATGCACAATAGTAAAGATGAAGAAACATTTATTAATCTGCAAGCTGTTTCCTGAAAATCTGTGTTTTTCCTTAAAGTCTAAATCCGCAAACGCAATCATGACTTTTCCTGTGGTATAAAGAAAAGTATCATCTATGTATGAGGTTATTAAGTATTAATGAGGCTTGCCCCATTACCTGTTTTGCTCTTTCTCGGTATTAAGAGTGAACAGTTAAACTGGATAGAGCTTAGGGCTTTGGTTTCAACCAGTTAGGGTGAGAGGAACACGGGTAGCATAATAGTAGTTTCATTCACTGCTCTTCCCCTGACTCTCATTTTCTGTCGCTCTTTAACTGCAGTAAGCTCTCTTCTTATAATTTTACATATTGCGACATTCATTATTCTCTTGTGCAACAGTTGCGACCTAGAATCTAGACCCTCCCTGAGGCTGTGGGAAATATTGCATTTAATTAAATTGTTATTGCACAAATATTATTTATTTATATCAGGCACTAAATTGTCTCTAAACCATGTAATGGCTTTCCAGCTGCGTTGAAAGCCTCAGTAACATCATTACAGACAAATTCATTAAAGTCCACCTGAGTTCTGCACAGAAGAAAAAACACTGAATCCCCTCATCTAAGATGTTTGGTGGAACAGTTAATCTTGATAGACGTTAGAGTCACTTAGCAGAAAAGGGAGGAAAAGAACAACTGAGTTCATTTTCTTGTTTGTTTTTCCTTAAATTTTCACAGAAATTCAGCTTATCAACGGAGGAAATATGTGTCAAAACGCATGAAACAAAAAAAAACCCCACTAAAGATAAAGTGGATGTATTAATGCCAGGCTTAAATTTCCAATTTAAAGCAAAATAAATATACATGTATTTACAACAAAATGGGTGGCATTCACCTTTAAACGCTTTCCATAACAAACACAGTTCAGGGTCTAGGTTGTTATCTTTTTAAGGCAGGAGTGCCACCAAGTGGTAAGTCTGTGCAGTACATCAGGTAATGTCTTTTCTTTGTTTCTTTTGTTGAGGCGAGGCGATTGTGTCTCAAGAGTTGGGAGTTAGCCTTGTAATCGGAAGGTTGCCGGTTCGAGCCCCGGCTTGGACAGTCTCGGTCGTTGTGTCCTTGGGCAAGACACTTCACCCGTTGCCTACTGGTGGTGGTCAGAGGGCCCGGTGGCGCCAGTGTCCGGCAGCCTCGCCTCTGTCAGTGCGCCCCAGGGTGGCTGTGGCTACAATGTAGCTTGCCATCACCAGTGTGTGAATGTGTGTGTGAATGGGTGGATGACTGGATATGTAAAGCGCTTTGGGGTCCTTAGGGACTAGTAAAGCGCTATATAAATACAGGCCATTTACCATTTAAGAATTTTTTAGGGATGTGCTAAACAATAGGAGGTAGTCATTTGTCTTTTGGGGGCTATGATGTGGAAAAGAAATAAATGCAGAGAAGTAATAAGCTTAAGTAAAGTAGATCATATTTAAAGTATATAATAAATGCTTCTTATTTCTGCCACAAAGGAAACTGTAATATCTTTGGAGACTTTGAAATACTGAGAACAGACAGACTTATAGGATGATTAATATCACTTTTTTATTTATAATAAAATTTTCTCAAAATTGCAGTTCTTTGCCTTATGAGTCATACTAGAGATTATGAAATATTTAACACCCCCAAAATACACCCACATCTTAGCTAAACTTTGCCATTGCAGACTTCCTTTGTACTTCCCTTCCTGTAAAAAATCTCCATCATAAATGGATGCTCTGTTTTGATGCAGTAGGAATCGACTCTTCCTCTGGTGTGATCCAGGACTCCTCTGAGATCATCGGCTCTTTGATTCCTCTATTCAACAACACAGTGCAGCCAGATGGGCAGAGGAGCTCCTCTCTCTCCAAGGCCAACAGATCTAAAAGGTACTGCTGGGAATCATGGTCCATTAGCACCAGATTTATGCCATCACTGGTACCCTCAGACTCAAGGAAAGAATTTAATGTTGGGATGGCCTCAGCTGAGCTGTGTAAAAACCTGGAACTGAGGAGATTTGGAAAAGTGAGTAATAGAGAGTTATCTTTTAGAGATATTTTAATCATATTCTGGGTTAGAGTCCTCACTGTACCTGGGATTGCTTGAAGCTAGTCACCAGGATGATTTCCTCTCCAAGATCTGCTGTGACTGGGTCCAGCACCACTGTGATCAGTCCGCCTCCATGGGGCAGCAGACGAAGCAGACGGCCAGAGCTGTAGCCACAGTGCATTCTAAGCTCCAGCACCCACAAAGGGCGGACACTTTTCACACTTTTCACTACGTCATCCAGTATCTCACCTGAATCCACAGGAACAACAAACTTTATTTCCTTTGCACACACCAGGGAGTATAGTTGACATTTTGGAACATTTTGACATTGTGGAATGTAGAACATATGCACCCAATAAATAAGTTACATTACAATAACTTAGATTAATGAATATAAAATACAAAAAATGTATTACATAATAAATTAAGGGAATGGTTACTAAACCAAAGGTAGGTACCTGCTGCCATTTCAGCCAAACTTGCTTTTTAGAAAAATATAGTAATTGCAGACTAATAATGTTTAGTAAATGAAAGAAAATAAAATAAATGACATGATTTAAAGCAAGTTCACGATTTACCATTGCATTGCTAAATGCTCAGTGTTCAAAGAAAGGTGTTATATTTCTGACTTTTGTGGAAAAAAGCACAAGCAAGTTGGGTAAAATTGCAAGATGTTGTGGTATGAAATGCTCTGCTGTTACGACCCGGCTCAAAGGCCGCAACATAAAAAAAAGAGATTAATACCAGAGTGTTAGTGAGAAGAGGTTTTATCTGAAAATGGAATACCAGGTTGGCTAAAATGGCTGGTGCCACCAAGGCAAAGACAAGTGAGCTCCTAGGGAACTTGCCTCAGTATGCTTTTATCCACACCTGACTAGGTGTGGCCAATTAGCACCAGCTGAAAACATTGAGATGATTAGGGGCTGCAGAGGGACGTAACATCTGCAAAAGCAACATAGTTTGTAGAAACTGAGCTAATGACTGCTACTTTTTATTGTTTTCCTCTGACAGAAGTGGAAAATATCCAAAAGCATGAAAAAAAAAGAAATATTTTTCAGAAGTCTTAAAAGAAAAAGCAAAAAAAAAAGCAAAAAAAAAAGAAAAGAAAAGGCAATGGGCCCCACAGGGTCTTGATGTCATTATCATGAAGTCAATGTGTGACTATCAGAATCAGAATCAGCATACTTTATTCATCCCTAAGGACATTATGTGGGTTGCAGTTGCTCCAGTATAAATAACAGTAACAGAAACAGACTAGACTATTTAACAATACAACATGTTACAGATTTAAGTAATTTAAGAAATATGCACAATATATACGAATCACTCAATAATAAATATCACTGATTGAAAGAGGTGATTATAAATAAATACCAAGAATGTTGACAAGACTATTACAGAGTCGAAAAGAATCTGTGCAAAAGAGCAAAAGAGTGTAACTATTAAAGTGTTTACAGTGTGTAAGATGGCAGAGTTGTCCAGGGAGATGGCCACAGGCAGGAATGATTTCCTGTGTCGTTCAGTGGTGCTTTTTGGTAATCTCAGTCTCTCACTGAATGTGCTCCTGTGGCTAACAAGCATGTCACGGAGTGGGTGGGAGGTATTGTCCAACATTGTGTTAATCTTGAACAACATCCTCCTTTCAGACACCACCTTAAGGGAGTCCAGCTCCATCCCCACAACACTACTGGCTTTATGGATTAGTTTATTGAGTCTGTTGGCGTCTGCAACCCTCAACCTGCTCCCCCAGCATGCAATAGCATAGAGAATAGCACTGGCCACAACAGATTCATGGAAAATCCTGAGCATTACACAATGAGACTGAAAACACAGATAACCTAAATCCACAAAAGGCCTGTCACCAGAAACTTCCAGAAAAAGGGGAACTGTAGCAAAGAGAAAAGTTGCTGCTTTAAAGGGAAATAGTGGCCACACTAAATCTTGATTTGGTTCTTTTCTGTTGAATATATGTAATTATTCAGAATTTTGTACAATCCACACTTGATTATGTCTCTTCATAATTAATTAATAAAGGTTAATAAAGCTTTACCACTTCTATTACAGCACCATGCCCACAACAGATATGTCATGCATTATGTATCCCATGTGCACTAACTGTACAAGTGAGACACTTTCTAATTTAATGCACTATCAAGGTAACTGTTTCTAATGCTTACATACCAATCTGTGGACCAATGCAGAGAGACTGATGTGTCTCAGCATAAAGGTCAAAGGTCTCTAAGACGCTGTCACCTTTGCCATGGGTGCAATTAGAGAACACAAAGACGTGTGTGCTCTTGACACATGCCCCCCCTCCCACCAACCTCAGAGCCCAGGCCAATGCTTGATGGCACAGGATAGAAACTTTACCACAATAAAGGCTGGACACCATGAAGATGGTGGGAAGCAGTGGCACCAAAAGAGCAATCAACCACATGTGGTCAGCTGTTGTAAAAAGCCTTCAAATCTGTGGGTCAAAAAGCTGGGGGTTTTTTCCAAAATGACCTTTGCTTTCAGTTTCGTTGAGTGTAGTTTTGGTAACAATTTTTATTATTATTATTATTATTATTATTATTATTATTATTATCCTCCTTATTAAATCACAGCTCTTACTCCTGCCATATTACTTTATGGGGAAAACAACAACAACTTTTGTCTTGCATTGCTCCTGGCTAGTGATCTAGAAAGCAATCATATACTTTTACATTCTTTCGGCACAGAGTTCTTGTAAATAAATTACACAACCTTTATTATTTTACCATCAAGTCGCAAATGTAATTTTATATCTAAATAAAAGAGACTGCATCTTATTTATTAACGTGAGCATTCACAAACTTTTTTGCAAAAATATCATCTTTATTAGAGGCCTTATTCTCTAATTGTAGCCTACTGCATCATTGCATAAAAATAAACAAATAAATGAGTACAGCCTACATTCTTTATCCATTATATTTAATGATAACCATTATCACATCCATAAACATGTGTTCTTTTTTTTAGTTCAGTTTTTAAAGTCCTTGAAACTATTAACGCAGCTAATTAAAATTGGTTTTGCATTTAATGAAATAAAATCCATTTGTTCATCCAAAATGAGTAAAAAATAGTATTAAATGGTAGACCTATGTCCGTACACTCACCTTGACCGTTCCACTTCAAACCTGCCCACAGGTTGCTTGCATTAAAGCAGGCCGTGAGGATAAGCAGCAGAAATGAGGTTCTTCTGCTGCTGGGTGTCTGGTTGTATGATCTTAGGTAAGGAGCTCATTCAACTCGGAGTAAATAAGTCAGTTGAGATGCTTCGGCTACCTGTATAGGATACCTTGTGGACGCCTCCCAATCCCTGGTCAGGTTTTTCAGGCTTGGGACACAAACAGAGACACGCTGCTGGATACAGTATGTACGTTTGTATTTATATGTATGTATTATACACGCTCCCTGGTTTGTAAAGCCATTCGGGGATAATACCCCCAGGGAAAGCCGAAGACAGGAAGGTCTTGGCACCCCTGCTTACCCTCCTGGATAACGGATAGAAAACTGATGAATGGATGGATGGATAAAGCAGTACTCGCCAAATTTCAATATTGCTCGTCCAGGATCAGAGTCCATCCTGTCAAACACAGGTCATCTTGCCTCTTGTGGAAGTCAAGCAGGTGGTCAGCATAAACGGATCACTTTTTTTTTTTTTTATCTCTTACAGACTCTCTGTATGACTAAAGTCCGAAAGACAACACTGTTTGGTGGCATCCATGAAGCAGGCGTGGTGAGTGCACCTAAACTACAAAAAGAACATACAATCGATGGTGCTGTCTGGGAAACTCCTCCTCCTCTCTGTCTGCACCACTGCTTTTTTCCACAAGAGGTCAGCAGAGATGAAGGTTAAGAATGCCAGCCATCATTTGGAAAAAGAGTCTGTGGGGCTTTGAAAAGTTTCAAGGGTCGTCGTCGAACTTACAAGTCTCAAAGTATACAAGGCATGGGATGCGACTCCAAATGTTTTTGTGCGGAATCTGCCATTTGACGAATAAATAATTTCACGATGGGTATTTCACTCATTGCTGGTTGTTTTGGCTCCAGGTGGACAGCTGGTACTGAGCAGTTACAACTTCCATTTCAAACACTGATATGGCAGAAGTAGAACTGCCTTAAGGAAAACTCTGACAAACAGATAAAATAGGTGAAAAGAGAATACCCCAACAGTTGCAAAAGCGTGGAAACATTGCTGAACTTTCGTTTGCTTATATTTACAAAACTGTTCTTTTTTTTTTTTTTAAAGACTAACACAATTCTCAGAAGTCTGTAACAGAATTAAACTGATAACTATGAATACATTATATCATAGAGCCTGTAGAGTTTTGTTAATGGATGAGCATCTGGAGTTTAATGTTGGCCCTCAGTTTCAGGCGCCTTTGCTCGAAATCTGTGCACTTCCTCTTTTCTAAGTTGCCCCATATAATGAAAGTGGGTGTGAGCTCCCCAGCGGGCTGCTGCCCTCGTTGGCTGCCGGTGAAGCGGCGCTGCTCTGTGTATTTTTGGCCGTTGGAGCTAATCATACTGCAGTGTGCAAGTCCATCAGTCCAGCGGAATCAAGCTGACCTAGAACTGCTGGATTATAACCGGAAGCAAAGCACGGTGCCATCAAAATAAGAGCAAACACAACATATCAGCGTGGATGGAAGCCTGTAACCATGGAGATGACCAGCTCTAGAAAGAAATGAAACATACTTGGCAACATATTGTTGAACCATTAATGCTATCAAAATGAAACATCGTATCATATGATCACATGCATCATATGTATGATGTGTAAATCATACATAAGTAAATAAATATGCACTTTTTGTGTTTGCATTGCCAAAATAATGATAATGAAATAATGTTTACTTCTGATAGTCATTATGTTTCTTAAGAAAGAGGACTGCGACTTTTTTTTTAACTTAATTTAATTTCAAAAGCCGGGTTAGTGTATGGTGAATCAATCTATGTAACTGGATATTTATCTTTGAGAAACACATGCTACCTTACCCTGAATGACTGTAGTGTAGCACTGAACTCTGTCAGCCAAAGGTGGGATGTAGAAATTGTGACTGAACAGTTACAGGACAGGCATAAACAGAGTTCTCCCTTTAAGCCTGGTTAAAAGTGAGATATTTTTCAATCATATCAGTTTGTGATTACTCTCAGAAACAATGTTCATTTTCTTGCAGCATTGAAAAGAAGTAGGCTGGAGTATAAATACATAATTCTAATAGCGATAAATAATGCAATTTGATGGTGGGTTTATACTCAATTTACTGGACTGTATTATTATTTTTGATAAATTTGAATTTCCTGGTCCTCCACTAAAGCTTTTATTCTGAGATCTCCCACCGGAATTCCTGTGTTTGACGACTCTCTCTGGCTTGGAAGCTGGTTGTTTGCCCACATACTCTCAACAGGAGCGATACGGGAGCAGCAACTGGTTCGTCCGTCTTACCGGTGCTGCTGCTGCTACAGCACCTTCTACAATCAGGGGAAAACAGACTGGCCGACGCATTTGACGACCAATTTCGGTGGAATAACGCTGCACCAAGCTGCTTTCATACATATCTGCAGGACACAGCTTCTTCGCCAATGGCAAGTCCGGTTGCAGACATAGGACAGTCTCATCAGCATCACCCCGTGAACGAGTCGGCCGCACAGTCCGCGTTTCTGGAGGCGCAGAAATGGATAGAGGTGAGTCACGGAGTACCAGCAGCGAGCCCAAACGCTGTGTCACCTCTCCACCACTTTCCTTCCCTTTCGCGCAGGTGTTTCGTTGTCATCGCATGGCCCTAGTTACTGGTTTGTACCTGCAGCGTCTGCCCCTTTAAAAGGCAGTTTATTTTATTGCTTCGTCACCTGTTGAAAGGTGACAGTAATTTGACTCAGATCCTAAAAACACATCGTCACTGTGTTCCTGTGAAGTCCCCGGGATGGGTTAGAGTTCCCTTGCAGGTGTGCATATTATGTCAGTATGAGCTGTTTAAATTATTATTTTGTTAACAATTATCAGTACATATGAGTTAAAATAACTGTCCTCAAAATAAAATGAAAAAGATAATTCATTCCTATCTGCAATAATACAGAATTCTTCCAAGTGACACTGGCTATTTATTTTGTGCGCATTTTCACCAGACCTTCCTAAATGTTGAAGAAGGCTTTCTGTTGTTTTTTTGGTGAGGGCCTGTGTACAGTAGCTTTGGTCGCTATGAGGCCTGGTGCGTGTTTGGCTGCAAACAATGAATGCATCATGTGGAATGGATTTTTGCCTCATTGCGAGCCCGGTGAACAATAATCACACAAACGAGGTTTTGTTCTGAGAGCATTTCAATCACGACACTTGCCTGCCCCCATTGCATTTGACTTTGTCATCATGCAGTGAGCTGTCCTCCTGTCAGGCTTCAAAACACTGATGACTGGGTGGTTATAATTTGCATGTTGGTCGAGTGCAGGCGTGACTTTGTGTGTTTCCATAAAGGGATAACAGTTCGGAGTGGCACAGCTCTTTTTCTAAAGTTTGTGATTCAGGGTAGCAGGGGTGTAGACTGGGATTATGGGGCCTCTATACAACATTTTTGTCAGTGCTGATGATATGATTTGTGATTTTTCTTTTCTTTTTTTAAACATTTTTTCTGAAGGGCATCAATGTTTTTGTTGTTTGTTTTTTGGAATGATCACATCAGTTTCTTAAAGCACCTTTGTGTTGGTCCTTAAGGCCAATAATACCAGATTTAAATTTCAGATTAACATTTGAATTAAACAACGAAAAACTACCTGAAACACACAAAACAGCACAAAAGTTAGTGGTAATGTTTCTCATAGTTAATAGGAAGTAATATGAAGTGAAACTTCCTTTTTTACTACTTCTGTGCCCGTTGGTATTTTAATACACTGACTAACCTGCGTATGTCATTGACTTCATTAAAAGTGACAGATCCTCTTTAAGCGTGTCAGGCGCCATTACAGGCCTATTTAGTAGTTCCAAAGTCCTCAGAGGCTCATATCACATCTTTAAAAAGCCACTATTGACCTAGAATTTCCAAGGTGGATTAGGGGCAAAAGCTGAAAAGGTGAGAGTGAAGTGACACCACTCCTGCATTTTCCCTCTTTCACCCTTTCCCCATGGGGACTGATTATCCACATACACCTGTGACAGTCCTTAAGTAACCTCAAGGAACAAGAGACCACTCACTAGATCCAGAGTGAAAACAGCAACACAAAACCTCAGTCCAGATTCTAATAACTGCTCATATTCAACTGCTGTGCCCTATATAATATCGGGGCCTGAGGCTAGAGGTTGTAAAAAAGGTTTTCTGTTTGACATGAATTGTCAGATAGAAATTTAAAAAAAAAAAAAAAAAAGCAAAGGGACTGTTAAGACCTGTGGTTTTTGTTTTGTGCACCTTTGCAACCACTCACCTCTGTTTGGAAACTAAGCATTTGCTTTTGTTATAATTTTTGTATATATGCACTACCAGTCAAAAGGTTGGACAGATCTTTTCATTTAATGGTTTTTATTTATTTTCATGACTATTTACATTGTAGATTCTCACTGAAGGCATCGGAACTATGAATGAACACATATGGAATTATGTAGTAAACAAAAAGTGTGAAATATCTCAAAACATGTTTTATATTTTAGATTCTTCAAAATAGCCACCATTTGCTTTGATTACTGCTTTGTACACTCTTAGCATCCTCTCGATGAGCTTCAAGAGGTAGTCACCTGAAATGGTTTTCTAACAGTCTTGAAGGAGTTACCAGAGATCACAAGTACTTGTTCTGCGATTCCATCTCATCCCAAACCATCTCGCTTAGGTTTAAGTCAGGTGACTGTGGAGGCTAGGCCATCTGGCGTAGTACTTCATCACTTTCCTTGTTGGTCAAATAGCCCTTACACAGCCTGGAGGTGTTTTTGGGGTCACTGTCCTGTTTAAAAAATAAATGCCCGATTCCCACAGTCTCCTCTGAACAGTTGATGTAGACATGTGTCTGCTACTGGAACTCTGTGTGGCATTTATCTGGGCTCTGATCTGAGGTTAACTTGGGGTTTCTGAGGCTGGTGACTCGGATGAATTTGTCTTGGTCTTCCGTTTCTGGGGCTGTCCTCATGTTAGCCAGTTTCGTCATAGCGCTTGATGGCATTCAAAGTTTTTGGAGTTTTCCAGACTGACTGACCTTCAGTTCTTAAAGTAATGATGGACTGTCATTTCTCTTTACTTAGCTGATTGGTTCTTGCAATAATATTAATTCTAACAGGTGTCAAATAGGGACGTCAGCTGTGTCCCAACCTGACCTCTGCACAACACAACCGATAGTCCCATTAAGAAGGCATGAAATTCCACCAGTAAACCCTGTTTAACAATGCCATTCATTGTTAGATCAGATGATAGACTTGTCTTGCAGAGCTCTTAATATCCTCCTTGTACTATTTTAGGTCCAAATATATAGAGAATGATATACTTTTATTTATTTTCTTATGTTGTAGAGCAGCTGTATTCAAGTGTGGTTTGTTTTAGCCAGTGAGATTATTTTAAAATTTTTGCACTAGATAAGCATACAGAGGTCCTTGAAACTGCTGTTGAATTCCAGATTTATGCCTCTGTGTCAGCCTGTTCTGCTGGTCCCACCAAAAATGCATTAACAGTAAACTGATTTATAGCTCAGTGTTGGGTTTAACTCTGTTGATTGCTGATGCAAGCACCATAACCATGTTGTGCATTTATTGTATACTTAAATTAATGTTTCCTGCATGTTGTGACATGGGAGGGCTTGCACTGACAATTACTTTGCTAGATAGAAAACAAAACAGTCTTTTGTAGCAAAAGAAAATGAATCAATTGTGATACATGTAAATATTTAATGAACACATTTGTGTGAGAAAATGTTTTAAGGGAAGATTAATGAATCCTCATGTTGTCACATGTTTTCTTGAGTTCACGCTCAACAATCTCGAACAGCAGTGGCGACATGCCTGAAAAAACACGAGCAGACTCGGCTGAACAATCATATTTGAAGTGTTTTTCACATAGTTTATATATATATATATATAGTGTTAACACATTTTTGAGGATGTGAATTTTAAAATTCAATGTACTGAAGTATATTTTTCAATCACAGTTATGCTCAAAGGCAATGTTTAACTGGGAGGGAGGCATAATTTAGATTTTTTTTCTTTTTTTTTTTTTCAAAGCAGCAAATCTGTATTGTTCAATTTTAGCGCGTCTTCAATGAAGTCCTATCAGATGGCATCCAAGAGTAAAAATCCAACATCTTAAAGAAGCATTCACACCTGCACTTATTGTTTCCTTGAAAGTGGCAGCCTCTCACCATCTGTCAGTAACACCGTTGCCAATAATGGTGTTTAAGCTTCTCTGAACTTCAGAAGACTGACGAGCCCTTTGATGAGGGCGAAAGCTTTCAGTTGGTTAAGTTGATTGATTTCTGTCATGTAGCCACAGGCTGTTTGTGTGAATGGAGCCCCGATGATATTATCTGACTGGGTCTTTTTCTCAGAGGCCTCTTTTTAGTTTGATTAATTTGCTTCCTTGTTAACAGTGTTTGAGGAGTACTTTGCTGCTGGCAAATTCAAAACAAAGTGTAACTATGAGTGAATACCAGAGTTGCGTAATTCCATCACTCTCCCTATGTTTGAAGACAAACATTCAGCTGATAAATGAACATGAAGAGTGTCCACTGGAACAATTTGAGGAAAAAAAAGTTTAAATTATACAGCCAAAAAGTTGCCAAGAAAAGAAAGCTTACTTTGGCAGATTGAGTGTAATAATCCAAGTGCTTTAGATTATCTCACTGATTCTTTTTTGTGGTGGTGGATGGTTTTTCTTGAGGTGTTAGACACAGTAAAAAATTCGTAGTAATCTATGTAAACTGGCAATTACCCCTCATCACCTGAGAGCTTGTCTTGTACTGTTTAGCACAAAACCTGCATAAACTGGAAAGACAGCTGGGTCCACATATTTGCAAAACTTGGAAGGCCAACATGGACTTTACATTGACATTTACTGGGTTGGTATCTCATTTGATTTCAGAACTGCTTTAATTCGGGGCGATCGTGGCTCAAGAGTTGGGAGTTCGCCTTGTAATCGGAAGGTTGCCGGTTCGAGCCCCAGCTTGGACAGTCTCGGTCGTTGTGTCCTTGGGCAAGACACTTCACCCGTTGCCTACTAGTGGTGGTCAGAGGGCCCGGTGGCGCCAGTGTTCGGCAGCCTCGCCTCTGTCAGTGCGCCCCAGGGTGGCTGTGGCTAC